TGGTGTTCTCTTATTGAAAATGCCTTCAAAGTGATAGAAAGGCATTGTTCCAATGTTATTAGATTGGATAACAAAGGTGGATGTTAAGACATTTTTCCCTTAAGCAATTCAATCAGATCAGGTGTTTCTAATGCTCTTTTCTTGATTTTGAATAACTGGGGGTTGCATTCCCCAACCTTCCAATATTAGGTTTCTTACCCTGTTTTTTTATTTAATAAACATTACAGTGGTACCTCAGGTTAAGTACTTAATTCGTTCCGGAGGTCCGTTCTTAACCTGAAACTGTTCTTAACCTGAAGCACCACTTTAGCTAATGGGGCCTCCTGTTGCCGCCGCGCCACCGGAGCCCGATTTCTGTTCTTATCCTGAAGCAAAGTTCTTAACCTGAAGCACTATTTCTGGGTTAGCGGAGTGTGTAACCTGAAGCATATGTAACCCGAGGTACCACTTTATACCGCTCTTCAACAGAAACACTCAGGCTGGGTTACAATAAAAGATTCATATATAGAGTTGCTTCAAGATGTCAGGCTGAGTATTTTTGTGAACTACAGGTTGAGTATTTATGTGATTCTGAATAAAAGCCTTTAACTTTCACAGAACTACCTTGTGGTTTCTTTGAGTGATTTGGCAAGGATCCAAAAAGCTACTTGGGACACGCCCAGTCCAATTGTCACAGATTAAAGCTGTGTGTGTGTGTGTGTGTGCGTGCACACACACACACACACACACACACACAGATCTCCAGCTCAAGAGCCATGTAGCAAACTATTTTGAGATGCCTCTCAGTTTCTAAAGTGCTGGGCGGGGTGCGGTGGGTGGATCCCAATCTTCGTCTATTATATCAACCTGTGGTGGTTTGGTACTTTCACTTATATGACATTTCATGAGTTCCTTTTGTGTCAAACATAACAACTTTGAAAATAAAACCCAGATATCACAGCAAAAACAGCAATCAACATTTTTTTAATACAAACAATAGCATTCCAAATAACATAGTAAAAACAAGAAAATGGCATTAACTTTGTTGTCTGAGTGGAAAGCAAATTAAACAAACATTTCTGACAGCAAAATATAACCCAGGAAGTAGCTTGGTGGCTCTTACTCTACAAAGGACAGATAATTCTGTAGGCTATAGGCCACTCCAGAGAAGGCCTGCTTCCTAAAATTTATATACCTCTTGATTGTGAGAAAACCTCTAAGTGGTTTTCAAAAAAGATAAAACAATAAAATTAGAATTAAAACAATAATCATACATGAGGCACAAATACCTTAGAAAATGTATATGTAGGAAATGCATATGTAGATAATTGTGGTTGATCTGAAAACATAATCCTGAGTCTTGTGCTACACAATCCACAGCTTGACAAGCTACAGTGGGCAGTGAGGGCAGTGTTCTGCTCCTGCGGTCAGCTTCTGACTTATGTTTGATGTAGGTTAGCAGAGCATCTGTTCTGCAGTTCAATCTCACTATGCAGCTCCATGCCTCCCTGCTTCTTGGTGTTCATCAGTCTCTTTCCCTGTCTGCCCTTTAGAATTTGCTGCTGTTATAGGTTCATCAGTTTGAGCAGATGAAAGATGGGCCATGGAAGGCTTAGGTATGATTTTGGTACATAAATGGTGCAGTCAGAAAACTTTTCCTTTTCAGCCTACCCACCCCTTTTCCTCTTCACTGACCAAGATGGATGACAGAACCCTTAACAACAACAACAAATTCCCTTCTTCCACACGGCCTTCCTGTGGTCCACACATTAGACCTAGGCTTAAGCTAGCTATTGTCAACTTGCCATCTATCCAAAAACCTCTTTCATAAAGGAAGTGTGTATTTGTCAGTGTATAAAGTGTTAAGCTTTCCAAGTCCTAATGGACCATCAAAAGTCACCTCCATCCATATGAATCTACCTACCGTATTTTTCACCCCATAGGATGCACTTTTTCCCCTCCAAAAATGAAGGGGAAATGTGTGTGCGTCCTATGGGGCGAATGCAGGCTTGCTCTCCAGGCTTCGCGCAGATCTCCGCAAGCCGTGGGAGCCCGCGCCGGGCTCCCGCAGCTTGCGGAGAGTTGCCTGCATGCCGAAGGCTGGGCGCACTGAACTCAGCGCGCCCAGACTTCGCGCACCTCTCCGCAAGCCGCGGGAGCCCTGCGCTGGGCTCCCGCGGCTTGCGGAGAGTTGCCTGTTCTGGGGGCTGGGGTCGGGGGAAGCTCGGGCTTCCCCCGCCCCAGCCCCGCGCCTGGGGGGGAAATAAATTTTTTCCCCTTTATTTCCCCCCCAAAAAACTAGGTGCGCCTTATGGGACGGTGCGTCCTATAAGGCGAAAAATACGGTAACCCTTGAGATCTAGTGAGATTTTGCTATGCGTTCTCCCTGTCGGTGGAAGAACGGTGGGTAAATATGAGAGAATAGCCTATTCTTTGGTGGCACAGAGACAGTGGAATGTCCTGTCTGGCCTCATTGCTTCTAACCTTTAAAAAATGATTAATATGTTTTCTGGCAGACATTGTCTGCTATACTGTTTTAATGCAGAGATTTTGCTGCTACTGTCTGTTGCAGACTGATTTGTTTTCTGTGATGGTTTTAAAATTGATTTTTGATACATTGTGTTATTCTTATACAGTGGTACCTTGGTTCTCAAACGTAATCCGTTTCGGAAGTCCATTCGACTTCTGAAATGTTCGGAAACCAAGGTACGGCTTCCGATTGGTGCAGGCGCCCTGGAAACAATAGCCGACAGTCGCATTGGATGTTCGGCTTCCAAAAAGTGTTTGAAAACTGGAACACTTATTTCTGGGTTTTCGGCGTTCGGGAGTTGAAATGTTCGAGTACCTAGGGAGGAGAAAGACGGCACATCTGTGTGGCCTGCATGAATCTTGTAGCCCTGAATTTCTGCTTTGCTCTCATTACCACTGATAAATGGATATCATTAATTGGATATCAATGCTTCAGTTGATTAATCAGTAGATTAAAGTGTACATTCCTAAAAGATGCCTTACAGTAATTAACTGCATCTTCTCAAGGGAAAGGCTAGTTGTCGACTAACCTACACTTGACCTTGCTCTTAATTTAGATGTAAGCTTTGGGGACCAAAGTACAGTAGTAATTTCTGGGTGGAGTTGGAGCCACCCTGTACTGAGTTTCCGCCCTGTGTTCAAATCCTGCTGGCACTTGTCTGGATCTTACCAATTTGAGCTAGACATATTTGAATTTTCTGTCATAGCTGCATTCTTTCTTTGCACTTCCTGCAAAAATGTCTGGGCTTTTATGTTGGACTATAAGTTTTTAACCTTGGTCACAATGAGCCCACCCCAGAAGTGTGGAAGAATTGACTTGAGCTATGTAACATTGAAGGAAGACCATTCAATACCAGTGGGAACTGTGAACTTTGTCTCAGGCAGTGAATGGGCAGAGTAATAGAAAGGGCTGCAAAAACCTGTGCTGTGGTGTTGAGGTTCCAAAGGGTAGTTTTGCAAAGGTGAAGGGTTTGATCTGTTGGCTCCAGTGGTGGTCCATCGATGAGGAAAATATGATTCCACTCAGACTATATTTCAAGGATCCAGGTTTTTCAAAGCCAGGATTTGTCAAGACAGTTCAATCCCAAGACAGTATCAAGAGTTCAGGACCCAGGAAGAATTAGGTTGGCAGCTGGAGGAATTAAGATCTATTTCCAACCAAAATTTGTACAGCTATTCCTGTTAATAGCATCTTTTCCACAGACTTGTTTTTATGTTCTGAAAACTCTGCTACACCATTGTCAGTACTGTTGACAAGGACTGCTTGTTGACAAGGAAGAATGGGGCAAATTCAAAACACCAAGAGAGAGAGTATATGCCTGCAGATTTAGTAATGACTGCATTAAAATAATGAAAACAAGAGCAACCATAACTTTAGCATCAAGACATGGGAAACTTCCCTTCTAGTCTCGAGGTCAGAGATTCTGGGTTCCCTTAGGAGGAAGGTCAGAATAGAAATTGAATAAATAAAGCTCCTTTGCATAATATCCAAATGACTTAAACATGAATTTATCCAGGAAATAAACCTGTGAAAACAAGCTTCCTGCTGGTGAGCAATTAAATCTCATGAAGTTTTGAAATGTTGTGATGACATTTGTGTTCAGGTTCAGAACCCAGTTTCCTTCCTGTTCACGTGAGTTCTCTCCTTCTGTGTTGTGTGAGGTTGCATTTTAGACTCTCAGATTTGACCTCCACTTTCCCTGTAGTCATCCAGGTCCTGAAGTAGCCACACGCAAATAACTTGATTAATTATTAATACTGTATGCATAAAACGTCCAAACGAAATGTTGTACCATATTTTAAACCTAGTATTACCATTTCAGAACCTCTAGGGTTAAGCAAGCGAGAAAGTTCTAAACAGATAAAAGGCTTATTATTGTAGAAATGTCAATAGTGCAACAAGAGATTATCCTTTATATAACATTTCCAGCATGAATTCTTAGCTTCTGCTTACATTATTATATTAACTTTAGAATCTTGACAAAATGGAAAGCTTTCTAGTACACATAGAAAGAGATGTGCATGTATGTGTTGAAAAAATGAAATGAAAAGGACTCATCCTCCTGGCAAGTGCCACTTGGAAATCTGTTTTCTGTGCCTCTTGGCATACTTGAAGCTAACAGTCTGTCTCACTCAAGTTTCAATCTGAGCCAAATGGATTCAGATTGCCTACACATGGAGAATTCATGGTACGTAAAGGACAAAGTTGGTAGCATTGCCCTGTCTCCTAAACTGCCTTGTGTTCTGGAAGGCTGGAAGAGTGTGCTGTTCTTGATCATTTTCTTAGTAGAAATATACAGTAAAATACTGATTTCAACAGCCTTGTTTGGGGAGCTGGAAGTGGAGAGGAGAGACTGTTCCAGCTGCTTTATAGTTCAAGAAAGGGTAAACCTTGTGTCCTTTCACAATAGGCAAGTGTATTTATGTAAAAGTTTTTGTTTCAGGAGTTCCTGACCTATAATCTATGTTTTTTATTTCATTTTACTTAACAGATTGTTCAGCTTGACCTTGAAAAAATTAATCATGCTGAAAGAGATGGACAAAGATCTAAATTCTGTGGTGATTGCAGTGAAACTGCAGGTACGTGTAATAAGGGAGCAAGGAATTTTTCAAACTGTATATTGGCCATAGCAATTGCAAGGCTTGCCAATTGTGTATAGCTCTGGAGAGACCCAGTTCCCTTTCTCCTGTTCTTGGGGTTGGGGTGGTGGTAGTGTTAAGCTTTTCCATTTTCCTGTGGAATGGGCAAAATGTCTGGCTTGGAGCATTGGACTCTCTAATTCATTATGTGGAACTTCATGTTCAAATTTAACTTACTGTGCCTAGCCTAGCATCCTAGCCCTATATACCTGAAGGAGCATCTCCACCCCCATCATTCAGCTCAAACACTGAGATCTAGCTCGGAGGGCCTTCTGGCGGGTCCCTCACTGCAAGAAGTGCAGTCACAGAGATCCAAGCAGAGGGCTTCTTTGGTAGTAGCACCCACCCTGAGGAATGCCTGGAAATGGCTCTGAAAATAGACCATTTCCCTGGATTGATTAAAAAATTAGTACATACTGTATTAGTGTTCTTGTGCCAGTTTCTTCAGTATGTTGTTTGGGGGGGGCTCAAGTATCCCCATGTTGAAGACTGAAAACAATGATGCACGCCTCTTGTTCTGTGCGAGTTGCAGGGTTCAAAAAGGATTCTGAGGTCCAACGAGATTGTCTTACCTGTCAGTGGACTTGTGGAAACGGAGCTTCAGTTGACTTTCTCCTTGCAGGTAAATACAGTTTAACTAAATTAATGGGGGTGCATAGAGGGGAGGGATGCTGGGGGAAGGAAGGGATAGAAGACCCTTTCTCCATAAACTTCATCAACATACCTTAGGATCTTTCTCTAATACTGTACTCAACACTAATATCTCACAAGAAATGTAAGTGATTTGTTAGAAAGACTGTACAACCTGAAAAAAGCGAGAAGGCATGTACGTTTGTGAACCAAGAAAATCTTTATTAAAAAAAACTTTTTAAAACATACCTTAGCATCTAATCCTTAGTCTTTAAGGTGCCACAAAACTTCTGTTGTTTTTAATGTAATAGGTTTAACATGGCTACTCCTTTGGAAGTAGCATAGTGTTAGTGTGCTTCAGATTTTCTAAACAAGAAGCTTAATAACTTTACAGTGGTTTGGGGATATTTGAAGAGAGATTGCTGTGAAATTTCAAATCTCGTTACACCCACACTTTCATATTCCTAGGAAGCAATGCCACACTCTTCCTGCTGTGTGCCTAGCATGATAGCTTTTCAGATTGAGAATGTGAGGCTTATGCAATGTGTCAAAGATAGCTTTCCAGTGGATTTCTCTTCTGTGCTCCTTTTCTTCAGGGAAAATGCTCAACTTCTTTTTCTCCCTTTCATGCTACATAAATAGCCATTTCTCAGCACATGGTGTTAAAAAGCATTGGACCTGTAGAGAACTGTAAAATGTATGCAATCTGTATTAAACTGCTCAGCTTCACTGCTGTTTACGGGGTGAATTACATTCTTAAAGCATCTGAAGTGTTTATCTAAGATGGGACAGAGAGGATTTATATGTTATCCTCTTCTCCTTGCTAGTAAAATCCAGTGCAATCACAAAGCCAGGAGGTGATGAATCTGGGTGTTTGGGGGATGGAGATGTGCAATTTGTTTTAATGAGTTTTCTTCCAGAATAGTTCAGACATTACCTCTTCCTGAACCAGCTGTCTTGCATGGGGAAGTAAGCTTTTGACTTGCACAGTTGTTGGATCCATTTTTAGACCATGTCCTTTATATTGAAGTGGCAACCATTTTTGGAACGTCATTCCTGACTCTAAGAAATGGCAAGCAACTATACAATGGGACATTTCCTCACACTTTAAAATCCTTTTGAAGGCATGAATTGAATAGAATATATTGATTGGGCCATTTGAAACGGTTTCCTAATCATCTGGAGAGTATTGGGAAAGATACGTGGGGCTAGCTGGCTGATAGCACTGCTTTGAAGCTTACTGTGTTTACCATCTTGATATGCTGTCAATATAATAGCATTTATAGAGAAACCAGAGATTGGAACTGAGGGATGTCGGGGGGGGGGCTGTTTTATGGGAGGGGAAATGGGGGGGATTAAGGATGATATGATTTAAGATAGTATGTTTTGTTTAAATTCCTAATAATTTTTTTTAAAAAGATATGCTGTTAATAGCTACAGATTAGTATTGAGCAATCTATAACCTGAAGACTTGCAATTCTTGTACTAAAGTTGGTTCAAGAAAACATAACACTCAGCCTGATCTCCTTCTATCGAGACTTACTGCTGTACAAGTTTGGTCTGCAACTTATTTACATGCCATTTCCTTTGGGTTCCTCTTGCAGTATCCCCACTTCCTGAAGCGAGATGCCAACAAGCTGCAGATCATGTTGCAGCGAAGGAAACGGTACAAAAACAGGACCATTTTGGGCTACAAAACTCTAGCTGTTGGCCTTATTAACATGGCTGAGGTAATGGAAGTTGAGAGAACTGGTTTTCTTGAGAAAAATAATAGATGTTGATTATACCTCCTAGTTGGATAATGTTTCTAGGGAAAGCACACTACATTGTGAAGTGTTACATTTTTTGAAGGGGACTTAAAAAGTGAGCACCCACCACCACCACCACAGTGTGAGAGTTGATTTGGGGAAGTGCAAGCTGGGCCAGTGAGGTTTTGCATGCAGGAAGGTCCCAGGTTCAATCCTCAGCATCTCTGGGTAGAGCTGGGAGGGACTTCTGTCTGAAATCACTATTAATTAGTGTAGGCAGTACTGAGCTAAACTGACCAAGTAGCCTGACTTGGTGTAAGGCAGCTTCCTATAGTCTTATATATTTCCCTCCACAAAAGTTGTGGCACTATAAACAGATATTTGGAGAAGCAAAGAGAGGTAAATTTGTTTCATGGTGTTTGGGTAGGAATTCAAAAGGTTTCAGCAAATTAAGTTCATTCGCTAGCAATGCTGTGCCAAACGTAGGTTGGAGACCTTTGCATCCATAGCACTGCCTATCTTCTCCCTTCCATCGTCACTATTTTGTATGTTTAGCCCCCTTTACAAGAATGAGCTTTCCCAGTTGGTTGAGCTTTTGTCTTAGGCTCACATTGGTGTGTGCTTCACATTCCTTGCTGTAACAATCTCTCTTCTTTAGAAGATTGACTTACATAATTGCCTGCTGTGCGTTTTAGTTTTGCAATTTTCAGGAAACGTAATCAGATCATCTAGCCACTTTGCTATTGCTGTTTGCTCTGTATTTAAGCTTTCTGGCTGCATTCCTGAAACTGTACTGTTTTTCTTCTCCAGGTTATGCAGCATCCAAGTGAAGGAGCCCTGGTGCTGGGACTCCACAGTAACGTGAAAGATGTTTCTGTCCCTGTTGCTGAAATTAAAATCTATTCCCTGTCCAGCCAACCAATAGACCATGAAGGACTAAAATCAAAATTATCTGGTAAGAATGTTTGTAAGACTTTAATTTCTGGATTTTGAGCAGTCCCAGTAGTTGACATGTACTAATGCAGGACACAGTCCTCAAACAGTTGTCAATGTTTCATTTAATTTCTTTCACTTTTAATTTGTATACTACCATTCTGTATAATTTAATTTCTATTCCACCCTTCATCCGAGGATCATGGAGCAGTTTACAATATAAAAACACCATGGGAAACTCCAGGTCTTAGATACAGGAAGATTCTCTGTCCAGACTTCTACCCCTGTATCTTGCTTTCTGCTTCTGATTTCCTGGTGCAGTTGCTCTGCTTCCCTTGGATATCTGTATTGAACCAAGAGTGACCAACCATTTTTCCATGGCCATCTTAACAACCTTTTCTCAATAGAAGCAAACCAAAACATATCTGCAGTATTTGGACTGAAATCTGATTCATCATTTTTTCACAAGAAATTTGTTGTATGCTGCCTCTGAGTATGCACTTTTGGTTTCTACAGCACCCAAATGTTTAGGGTGTCTTTTGTGGTGGAGCAGGAGAAGGGGATGGGACACATAAAGTATCTGTTATTATAGAGAGGACTCACAATATTCTCTTAACAGCTACAATTCCCACAGTTCCTTGTGGCGGGGAGGGAGACCATGCCTATTAAACTACTTTGGGGGGTGATAAATGTGGCCCAAATGAAATTATAAATCTGTGACTTTCCAAAATACAGTTGGCTTATTCTGCCCATGTGCAGTGTTATATAGCTGCTATGCCAGTCAAAGCTGCATTCTGCTCTGTTGGTTTTCCCCTCTTGTCTTGTGCTGATTGGCTAAGCCATAGCTCAGTGGCTAAGGGCTGCCTTTGCATGCAGAAAATCTTAGATTGAATCTATTGCATCGCCAGTTGAAAAGACATCTGGTAGCAGGACTAGGGAAAGCCTGTGGCTGAGATCTTAGTGATTTGATGCCAGCACTGGGCTGACTTGGTTATAAGTCAACTTCGTATGTTCTCCAGTGCATACGTGTATCCATACAAAGCAGAGGAAATCTTGTGTTGGATTCCCTGCTGTGGTTGATTTTGTCCTAGTGCCAATAATATGGATGCTTGAGGCACAGTGAAAGCAAAGGAGTGCTTGTAGCAGCAGGCTTACAGCTGGTGCTTGGCAGCCTGTGGTGTGCTCAGTTGTTAGTCTTAAAGTGTGCAATTTTTCAGGAGAGCAAACCCAATGCTTTTTGGATCTAGTACAGTAATGTCCACTCTTGCTGTGTCTTGTTTTGACAATCCAACCTAATTCCTTCAAACACTGCTATATTTAGCCTTCTGTCTTGGATTTTTCTGCTTTATGCTACTCCCTCCTGGATGGCTGCCTAGGCAATAAATCTGGTTGCTAAGGAAACTGATGGAGATGTAGACTCTGTGCTGGATTTATTCTGATATTTGGGTTTATTACCAGCAATGTTGTGAGTGACCGGATGCGAGGGAAAGCTGGGAACTGAGATGAAGTCATTACACTAGGCTCCAGTGTTATTAGTGCCTTTATGTGAGAATAATGGAAATGGGTTCAATTAGTTGCATAGTGTCAGAGTTTTAATCTAAAAATGATTTTATACTCTTTATAGTGGAGAAAGACGTAAGATACAGTAAACTAATATCCACTGTTAAATGGATATAATAAATGGGGACAGCTTTTTAAAAATTACATTTGTGTATTGTTCTTGAGGGTGGCATGCCTGTGTATCTTTGGCCTGAATATAAGCCACACTTTCCCCCAAAATTCTGAACATGAAAAGTTAAAGTGCGGCTTTTATTTGCGACCTTACGGTATGCAGCCAGGAGCACAGGGCAAACAGTGGCAGGAGCGTGGTGAAGTGGTGCCTGCCCCACGCATAGTCCCCCATCCTCTCCCCCAAGGCTGGGAAGGGAGACAGCGAGGAAGGGGAAAGGCTGCCAGTAATGCTGCACCCCGTCCCCCCCCCCAGCATGCAGCCAGGAGCAGCAAGAAATGGAGCGGCTTCTACAGTGGTACCTTGGGTTATGTACTTAATTTGTTCCGGAGGTCCATTCTTAACCTGAAAATGTTCTTAACCTGAAACACCACTTTAGCTAATGGGGCCTCCTGCTGCCGCCGCGCCGCTAGAGCATGATTTCTGTTCTCATCCTGAAGCAAAGTTCTTAACCTGAGGTACTATTTCTGAGTTAGCGGAGTCTGTAACCTGAAGCGTATGTAACCTGAAGTGTATGTAACCCAAGGTACCACTGTATTCTGGTATTTTTTTAAAAAAAAATCTTTCCCCCCCCTCCAATTTTAAAGGTGCGGCTTATATTCGGGCCGATATGGTATTATGATATTTACCCTTGCAACCAATTTGTGAGTTAGGCTAAGTAGAGAATGAGTGAGTGATTGGCCCAAGGTTTCCCCAGATCTCTGCAAACCCAGCCCAGTATTCTTTTTATTCCATATAGGCCATCTTCAGTGAGAATGATGCTGATGGGGTTGGATTTGGGCACAATTGTCCTTTTCGTCTGCATTTGTGAGACTTAAAGCCTGTCATTCAAATACTGTTCACTAATCAGGATTCAAGCTTGGTTAAAAGCAACACCTACTGCCAGACTTGGGGATAGACTTTGGTGACTTAGGTCTGAGTTGAAGGGGCAGCAGTCAAACAGATTCAAAGTCCTGCTTTAAGCCCGTGTGTTAGATGGTATCCCACTAAGGCCAGCATAATATACTTCCATTTCCTAATCCCTACTGAATGTAGCAGACGAGCAAGTTCAAATTGTAAAGCTCATTCAGATAGCTGAAGTCACTTGAATGGCACATGGACACACTGAAAAGAGAGGGGGATTTGCTTTTGTCAGGCTCACCATAAAAGCAGATTTCATTTGTGAAATGTCTGCCTAAATAATAGCTCTGGCCTATGTTTATAGTCTCTTTAATTACTTCCCCTAAATATCTGGAAAATGTTTGCTGTTGGTGACTGTGTATTAGGCTTGATGAAGCATTTGGCTGATTGGAGAGGACAGTTGTGAATCTTGAATTGTGCTGTTTTGCTGGTAAGCCCCATCCTCAGGAATGAGTGATTAGCTGTCAGTGTGAATGAGAAATATCAAGTTTGAGGTCACCCAGGGGGGCTATGCAGATGCAATGATTTTCATAGCTACTTATGCTGTCTGGTCCGACTTGGATTGACCCTTTGGATGAATATTTAAATGCAGGTCCCTCCGGTTACTTTATTTCCCTGATATGATACAGAAATATCATGTCCTTCAGTTATGATTCAAAAGGCTCATATTGGCTTGATTTGAAGGACACAGTAAGCCATAGTAGGAAACAAGCTAAGGCTTCCTGCCAACAGGCAGCATGCTAGTGCAAACTCCTCAGTTATCCTCATTTTGCTCTGCCCCGCCTGGAGCTGAAAAACAAATGATAGAGCAACTGGCTTAGTATTACATGTGGCCCAGTACTCATCATGCATATTTTCTCCAAGCAAACCATGAGTTGAAGCTGCTTGCTTGTGGAGTTCCTAACTATGGCTGTCAAGTACTAATGGGGCGATTTTATTTATTACTGGCTCACCTAATGTGTTTGTTGTATTTTTGGGACTCTGTGAATGTTAAAATTGTTGGCATTCCTGACAGTTCAAAAATTAAGATCTAATCTAGTCTGCACAAGCAGTCAAGTGAGGTGATAGGATCCTGAAGTAACAAGGGTAGATTGTTTGCTTAATTTGGAGAGCATAAAGGGGGGGGCGTTCTCTCACCTGCTATCTGAGTTGATAACAAACAGTGCCCTCCTCCCTGCAAGTGGAAAAACAAAACTAGTATCAGAGAGAGATTCATCCAGCTCACTCCCTGTTTAGTTAGTTTTCTATTTGTTTTATGCTTTCTGCCTTGGGAGGACTTTGCACAGAAAGGCAGCATGCACATATTGAAATAAACTTTTTAAGTACTTGGATTTTTTTTTATATGAGAAGAATTTGTAAAAAGGGATATATCTCACCTGCACCCTGAAGTGGTACACCTTGGGACTCTACCACTTTATTGTGCTGTATGCAGGAAACACTTTACTAATCCACCAAGAGACTCCTAGAACTGATTTTCATGACATGTATAGTCAGTAAGACAAGACGACCAACGAAAAGTGGGAGGAAGTTACATATTCTGATGGCGCACAACATGCTGGCCACTCAACAACTAACTGCCTTCATGCTTTACATTCTGCTGAATTTGCATGATCTTTGTCCCTTGAACCTTCACACTGGGGCAGCCTTGACTCCAGTTTGCATATGAAAATGTATTCAGTTTAGTTGCAAGTTTGGCAAGATGGCATTTCATAACTCTCAAACTATCCTCCAGATCGCTCTCCTGACATTGACAACTATTCAGAGGAGGAAGAGGAGAGCTTCTCTTCTGAACAGGAGGGGAGTGATGACCCCCTACATGGACAGGTAAGCTTCTCTTTTCACCTAGTCAGTCCCTTCTGTGAGGGCATGTTGAGAATGGATTGCTCAGCAGACTCCTAAAGGAACTTGGGAACTCTGACACCTGTTCACAGATGATTACATCATAGTTCCTGTGTACTACTTCCCTCTCCAATATCCCTTATTGCATTAGATTCATTTTAACCTTTTCTAGTTGTTTATTAAAGCTGAGTTGGAAACCTGAGGAGGAGCCAGGTGAGCCCTCTAAAAATAGTTGCTCACCAAATCCTGATGTAAGCTGATTAGAAAGAACAAAGTGTAGCAGAAAAGAGTTCATGGGAGTTGGCTGTATGGCACTTAAAAAAAGAAAGTGAGTCTTCCAACCAAAATTATACAAATACCACATGAACACAAAAACCAGATTAGCATAATAACACAAATAATTAAAACAGCAACAACAAGCAGTTAACCATTGCTGTATCATGCACTACAAATCTCTAACAAAGTAGTTTCACTTACGCAGTATACAAAGAATACAAAATTATATGTTATTTTGATTCCTTTGGCGTCGTTTGCAATATTAAAAAAAAATCAACGTGGCTTTAATGCACTCCCAACAATGAGTATCAAATTATATTTTCCTGAACCTTATTCACTTAATAGATAACAAAAGTGATTAATTTTTCAGCCAATTTATCATAATGCTGTCTGCCTTCTCTCTTGATGGTTTGGTTGACCATACAAACTATACCCCATGCTTTATTTAACCAACCAATATTGGAAGCCAGGAATTCTTCAAATTATAAGCAAATGTTATATGAGCAGCATTCAGCAAAGGAAGAACCATCTCTTGTTGTTTGTTAAAGTTGAATCTTTAACATAACCCAGCAGGAGGGATTAATGGATCCACTGATAAAGAACAGCTTGTTACATATTTTTTTTTCTGTTACTACATCAAGCCAAAAGTGCCTTAGGACAAGACCATGGCATTTCTAATACTGAAGGCCGACTCAAAGTGTCATAGATCTGAGGAGGTTAACTAAAAGACAAAGGAAGCAAACCTGTTACCAGTTAATATCATGAATAGGAATGGCTGAGAATAAGACACATAGGCTTCCTAAGTAGCTTTGGCCAGTGTTGGCCATCTTGGAATTTTCATGTCTGGCTGTGTTCATGAGGTAGAACTACACAGGTCATTTGAAGCCAGATCAAAATGCCAAGCCTGGTATCCCTAACATTTCATGGGCAAAGAATGAGATTTTGTCCTGCTTTGGAGGACCTTGTTCATAACTCTGTGGCTGGGTGTTCTTTGTGTTCTGAAGTGGTTTCTTCCCCACACCCCCTAGGATTTGTTTTATGAAGAGGAGGACCTTAGGAAGGTGAAAAAGACTAGGAGGAAACTGACCTCAGCTTCTGCAATTACTCGGGTGAGTAGCACTGCAAGCGGACTTGTCAGGTGAGGAGTTTGGGGCCTGCCTGTTCTTTCCCCCCATCTTCTAGTCCATCCTGTATCTGTCTGCTTGGTAATCCCAAGAGACCAGGCATAGGTGAGACCCACTATGTGGCTGTAACACACTGAGGTGAAGATGCTTCATAGCCTCAAGAAGAGCAAATGTTTACCTCCTGTATTGTGTGGCCACAATGTGCCAAATATTAAACTTCTGTTGGTTTGTGTGTGATTAGAAGCTGTATTAAAAAGGAGTCTCCCATGCTGGTACTCAGCCATACCTGCCAAATTGACTGTTACCAGCTTTGTTTTAGTACCAAGATACAGAATGAGTAGCTGACCTTTGATGTTGAGTTTCGATACTCTACCAAAAAGAATCTGTGAGCTTTTTTCAAGCAGAGCTTAATGAGAACAACCATTAGTTGACCACCACATTCCCACACCTCAGGGGGTAGCAGCAGAGTTTCCAGGCAGTCTTGACCTGCTTTTTAATAAATTAAGCACTTATAAGATCTTCCCTCCCCCATCCCTTTGTATGCATTGCTCCTTAATGCTTAGCTTTGAAGATGAGTCTTTGAGAACTAACTTTCTGAGCTACCTTCATGAAATATGTACGCTTTAAAGCTGAACTGTTGAGAGCTGCATTCTTATCAGGTTTGCAAGCTAAGCAGTGTTGCTCTGGACCAGTTACTGGAAGAAGAGTTTGAGTAATGCAGAGGTTCTGCAGAGGTGTTTTTTCCTTGCATTGTGCTGCAGAGCTACTATTTCCCCCTCCCATTTGGTGTAGGTTTATGGACTTGTTGAACACACTGTGGTACTTGGGTTCAGCTATATATGGTGTGGTGTTCTGACAAATCTGCTACCATCATGTTCTGTGGTTGGGATGCTAAATTGTGGGGAGAATTGCCTTAGGATTTTCAGTGTGTGTTTCACTCTCCCAGCCTCAGTACTCATCATGCACTGTGTCTCAAGAACTCTGCTTGTGCCTGTCCTAATCAATTGATAGGTGGCCTTTCTAATAAGTAAATGGTACCTCTTTTTCACAGCAGCCAAATATTAAGCAGAAGTTTGTGGCTTTACTGAAGCGGTTCAAGGTATCGGATGAGGTAGGTATGACAACATTTATGCTCTAGATTCCTGTAAGTGTGGTTCCTGGTTATTTTACAAAAAAACCGTGGTAATAAGTGTGTATTCCATGATGACAATTTCCACATGAAATGTAGCTGGCAATGTTTGGTCTAAAGAGAAGGGCTGAAGTTCAATGGTAGAGCACATGCTTTGCATGGAAATGATCCCAATTTCAATCCTTGGCATCTGATAAGGCTGAGAAAAGTCCCCTGAAGCCAGTCAGTGTAGACAATACTGGCTAGATGGGTTACTTTGGAAGTATAAGGCAGCTTCCAAAGTTCCTAAGCAGTTTTATGAGGGTAGTTTTGGGATCATTGGTATGGCCTGGAGAAAACAGGAGGAACCCTGCTTACATCACAGCAGCAGGAGCTCCTTTTACCTCTGGAAAGTATGGTTCAGGTGTCTGCATGCGTGGGTACAATCAGAAGATGATTTGCCTTGCTGCTTTTGTCTTGCATTTTCATTATAAGATGTGTCTGTCACTTACCTATTTAAGAATACAAAGCAATATAGTTTTGTTTGTGTGATCTGAAGGAAGACGCAAGATTTCAGGTGAAACTGTTTGGCTGACTGATGCTTGCTTGGCAATGCCCCAGTTTCAAATACCACACATTTGCAACACTATGCAGAAAGAAGATACAGCATAGAACTTAACAGAAAGTTGCCCCTCTCAGAAGCAAATAATTCTGGGCCTGTCTGAAAGAATAGGAAGCAGTGTATTTGGAACATAGGAGCTTTGAGCACCCTGGTAACTATGTCTTTTTTAACAGGTCGGCTTTGGACTGGAACATGTCTCCAGGGAGCAGATTCGGGAGGTAGAAGAGGATCTGGATGAGCTCTATGATAGCTTGGAGATGTACAACCCCAGTGACAGTGGCCCTGAGATGGAAGATACAGAGAGCATCCTCAGCACACCAAAGCCAAAACTCAAGTAAGTGTGACTGGATAAGTTGGACACCTGTGTGTGTGTGTGTGTGTGTGAGAGAGAGAGAGAGAGAGAGAGAGAGTTGGGAACCAAGATTCCTGTTCGAGATATAAAATTGCTGATACGCTGTTCTTCCACAAAACTCTGAAGCCTGAGTGACTATGCTTAAGTTTTGTTTTCTTTCAACATCAAAAAGCTTTCTATTTTTGACTGAATGAGGCGACAGAATGCATCACTATGCATAAAGATGATACAGGGTTGCTGTCAGCTGTTAAAATTTTAGGGCTCTTTAACCAAATATCATCCCTTGGGAAAGTGTTGTCTGACTTCTATGGTTTGATTCTGGAACCTTTTGTCAATAATGCCCACTGTTGCTAAAGCTTTCCCCTGCCACCTTGAGACCCAGCAACTTCAAAATACAAAGCCCCAAGATTTTCATAAAGCTGAATTATGTGGAAAATATATGTGCATGCTGTGTGATATGCTTGTTGACATGCGTGACATATATTCAGACTTGTCCACTTTTAGGGGTGGATTATTTTCAAGCCCTCCTGTGTCTCTTTTAAATTTAATTCCCTGTCGTATTTGGATGGCTGCATGAAATGTGCAGAACCTTGTTCTGTAGTTCTAAGCATGCAATAGGAAAAAGAAAAGTGAAGTTTGTGCATAATTGAGGCAGGGAGGGGGAGAGTTCTTCCTCTGGCCTCCATTCTAAGGAAACACATTCTCTTCCAACAGGATTCTTCCACTGTAGCTGCCAACCCACTCAGCTCCCTGTGCAGTCATTCTGTTCCATAGCACGCTCTCTCTCTCTCTCTCTCTCTCTCTCTCTCTCTGTGTGTGTGTGTGTGTGTGTGTGTGTGTGTGTGTGTGTTTTGAAGGGTGGACCTTGCACCCCTCCCTGATTTGGGGATTTGTATTTCTCCCGTTTCCTTTCCTTTTACAGAATCATATTAATGATTATCTTTTAAACTGAAGCTTAATCTTTGTGGTTGGATTATGTTACAGTTCTGTCAAAAAACAATTGATCCCAACTTCAACATGTGTGGCTTGCCTGTGAGCCATTCTGATTTCCTGTTTTTCCTACCTAGATAATTGAAGCCAGTCAAAGCTTTCTCCCTATGTCTCTACCCCCTATCCACTTGAACTGAATACTTAAGAAGTCAGCTAAATAAAATAATTAAAAAAATTGCTGGTTTTTAAAAATATATTTAATTTCATTTTGTTATTATACACACACACGTGTGTAGCTAAAGTCAGCTAAATGTCAGTCAGGCTTACAGAACATTTTTCTTTGGGATGTGGATGATGAAAGAGAAGGAACAGCTGCTTTTGCTAGGTTGGGAAGGCATGCCATTTGGGTCTAGAGGCCACATTGCCACTATTTAATTGTAGCTAGTGGACCAGGCAGAAAACAAAAAGTGAAAAGAAACCCAACCATATCTACTGCACACTTGTATTAGCTATTTGTATCTTGCCCCTTTTCAACCAAGGATGGTTTGTTACGTTAGAAAGCAGTTTTTGTTTACTAGGCAGCAAGCGCAATAAAAGCAAAATACATAATGATGTGACACAAATGTAATACAGATTATTATTATTTAATTAAACAACAGTAAACTAAAAACAAACACAAACACCTAGCAGGAAGATAAAACTTGATCAGGAAAGTTGATTCCTACAAACTAATGAAGTCCCAAATGTCTTGTGGAAGAGGATAGCGAAAAATGAATCTGAAAGGGAGTGGCATTTCTAAACCACCCATGCCACTCTTTAGAAGGTCCTTGGTAACCCCTACCATGAACACCCCACCAAATTTCAATATAGCAGAACAGGAGCTCCCAATGGAGAGGTTAAAACGCATGCAAGTTACTATGGAGGAAGTCTGGACCAGCACCAGCAGAAGTACAGTTACAGCTCCTTGTTTAGCTGGCAGAGTTCCTTTCTGTTGGAGACAGGAAAATGAAGCTTGAGACTCAAAAGTAGATTGGGGCAGGTTTGGGTTGTTGTTGTTTTTGCCTTGTACCTGGTCACAGTAGAAAGCAGCAATAGCCAAAGCAACTTTCTCATGGGTTGTCTGGTGAAAATGATCTCACAGCTAAAAAGGATTCAGTTTCTCCCTAGTAACAAGAGAGCTTCTGTCCTTTTCCTGAAGCCATGGTCCCTCCCATCTCCAGGTTTTTTCCTTAGGAAACCCCCTCCTGTTCTTCAGAAGTCTTAGTTCATGGTAGATGAGTCTTCCCGAGTTGGATTATAACAAGCAAACAACCCAACAGGGAAGGATCAAGGTGAACGTTGTCATGCACCGTGTGGACCTGATTTACCTGAAGGTTCCTATGCCTGTATTAAGGCATCAGAGCTGTAGTTTGTCCCAAATAGCTTATTTTCTCTGCCTTGGCTCCCCATTTTATGTTTATTTGCCACCCTGAGAGAATCGGAACTCTGAAACAAGAGTTTGGAGTTGTCATCAGCTATAAAGAAATGAAACAGTGGGGTGAGGAGTTAAGATTTGGCAGAGGCTTCCTGCAGTAGTATTTCCCCCAGTGCACTATTTGAGAAGTCAGATTTCAGCCCTTCGGAGGGAGTAAACAATAATGTAGAACAGGAGTGAGGAACCTCAAGCCTGAGGGTTGAATGCAACCCTCCAGGCCTCTCTGTCACTTGGGGCTCTCTCTGTGCCACATCTCTCACTGTCCCTGCTCCACAGCCTCTTCAAACATGTTTGCCTGGTTGGAATTTTGCTCTTGAACTATGATAATGCTTCTTCCTTTCATGAATGGAGACCAGAAAGAGGTGTGTATAAAAAGGGTTTCCCATCCCTGTTGTAGATCATCTATAAAAGAAAGCCGTGGTTTGTTCCGCCATTAATGCAGGTGGAAGTTCTAAACGGAGAAGAATAGCTGCTGTGATCTAACTACATTGTTTTTTAAGAATGTCAGTCAGCCTTTTTACCCTGCCCCCCGTAAAAATGTCTCTCCCCACTCCCCTCTTGATTTCACTGCTTTGTTTTATACTAGGCCTTTCTTTGAGGGAATGTCACAATCAAGCTCCCAGACTGAAATTGGAAGCCTTAACAGCAAAGGGAGCCTCGGCAAGGATGCCACCAGCCCAGTAAGTCACCAGGATGGGGGAGCCATAGATTGTTCTTGTTCACTCTACCAACCTTATGATTATGGTGAATTGTAATTAATGCAGAAGGAAACCAATCTCAGCCTTTTACAAGAAGTATTACCATATTCTCCTGGTTGTGTCCATGTGGAAACAATGTTTTTTAGAACCGCTGTTGTGAACTGATTGCTGTGTCCTGTCTCAAATGAATGAGATTGGTCTGTCTTCTGTCTACATGCTGCTTGCAAAGCTAAGATGAACCCCAATCTGCCTCCAGCTGTGTGTGCATTTGCATGCACACACCTGTATTCCAGTGAAGGGGTGTGTGTGTAGAAGGGATCAAATTGGCCAGGTGTAACAGTTTCTGTGATTTATATTCATATTTATTATTTTTAATATTTAAAAGGGGATGGGGCAGCAGGGCAATTTGGAAGCAGTTCTTTAGGTGCTGTTAATCCTGCAATTAAAGTTTAGTAATAAAGAAAATGGGACAACTTGCCCCAGCACCGAAAGCTCTTCTCATAGAAAACTCCCCTCTAGAGCATGGCTTGTGATCAGTGGTGATGGGTGTTGTAGTTCAACAACTACTGCAGGGCCACATGACACCTCAAAACTCTTTGCCTTTCCTCTCCTTCTGACTCCAACACAAGTTCCCTTCCTGAAGGACTAGAAACCTCTGTTTGGAAACTGGGTTTCTCAGGATTTGAAGGGTGATTTACCTTCGATGCTAAGGATCAATTGTTGTCATTTCCAATGCTAGGTAGTAAAAAGGTCCTAGTTTTATAATCTGCATAAACAACAAATCACCTAGTGATTGTAAATATGATCCTTCTGAATCACAGCTTCCTTTTTTCATTTTCCCCCTATTTCTCTCCAATGCTGTTCTTTATCCAGATGGAAGCATCCATGGGGGACAAACTGAAACCTGCCCGGAATAAAAACGCAGATGACAGTATCAACGAAGGAGACACACTGGTAGGTACATTTGTCCTTTATACTATTGGTGAGGACATTTGCTAACAGCAGTAATCACCTACTTTTATGAGTAATATTTATTCTGAATGCTCTTCCTCTTCCCTTCTCTAGGAAGGAAATGGTCAGGATACATTTGGAGACTCAACCACCACCTTGGTCATCCAGAAAAAGTCAAGACACCTATGAAGACCAGCAAGGGAGATCTTCAGAGCATGGCATCACCTAGGTAGTATGCATCAGGTTTTGCTTGCTTACATATTGCTATTCTGAAAATTGGTCAGAGCACTCTGTCAGCTGCAGCAAGTTTGGGGAACTTGTGGCTCTGCAGAAGTTGCTGTACTCCCATAAACTCCAGTCAGCATGGCCTGTGGTCAGGGATGATGGGAGTTTGTAGTCCAACAACATCTGTAAGGCCACAGATTCCTTCCTTCCTTTAGCAGCAGTATATCTGGAATTCCTATGGCAGGGCAACTAGCAGCTTGTATTTTTGCCAAAGGGATAAAGATGAGGATAAAAAAGGCCATTTCCTCCTCCCTGCAATTGAAGAGCATCTGCCATCTTTTCTTGGGAGGTTAGCATCAAATTCTTTAGCTATCTTGAAAAGAGATTTTACTAAATTGTTCATGAGTAATTTACCTAGATTGCATACATACATGATTTGAGTAACACAAAGGGGGGGGGAGGTGTCCCTACCTCAATGAACTTTTAAGTCACAACAGCCAGGGACAATGGAAGATGCACTGAATGAAATATGAGCAAACTGCAGACACACATATTTAGGCTTCATTTCAATAGGAGCTGAGGACTTGGGGGGGTGTAAACCAAAGGCTGCACAGAAAAGGAGGGTTTGAGGAGGGGTTGGCAAGAGGCATGGCTTACGTAGCCTTGTCAAGGCATAAAAGGAAGAAAGGGGTGAGTTGTATAAATGAGGAGGAAGCCCAGGGCAGGTCACAGGTGAGGGGAGGTGTAACAAGGCATAAGGGCAGAGTTTATTTTCAGAATGCTTTCCATCGACGCTGAGTAAACCATACCTGCCTCTCCCAAGATTGATTCATTCTGTGTTCTCCAGTGAATGCTTGCTACCGAACAATGGTGGTGGGTGAGCATGGAAAGATTCACTGGGCTGGTGGCTGCTCAAGAACTTGCCCCCTGTTGTGCATTCTGAATGTTCATGGAAATGTATATATTTTTGGGGTGGGAGTGAGGAGGGTGACTCTAGCTGTGTTCCCTTAGTGGGTAAGGCAAACCCATGCAGCTTCCCACACACTTACACCCATCCCACCACACACCCCATTCATCAGCCTTCCATTCATTTCACACTGTCCCTTGCACACTGTCCCTATTCCATTCCTCTTCTCCCACCTCCTTCCTCCCAGCATGGCAGTTATGCTTTAGAAGGAAGGCCTCACTTGTGCTAAGCCTAAATGTTGCACTGTGGGAGTGCGGCCAAGGAATGGAAACCATGGGCTAGATGCAAAAGAAGTGGGCCTTCACCACCCGTTGCTCCTCATGTCTTTCTCAGTTGAATTGTTCAGTTTTCTTGACCCCCAAGTGCTCTGCTCTGTTAGAAGTCTTTGGTTGTTACCTGAAATGTGCCACATTTGCCTTTCTCTGTGGTGCTTGGGGAGGCAGCAGATGACTACTGCTTAAATGCAAAAGTGATACATTCCCAGAGCCCCTCCTGCTTCTCCCTTTGCAAAGCAGACGCTTAGTAACAGACATGCTTGGCAGCACTATATGTTTGTTTGCTCAGCTCCTCCTCTCTTTGTTTCCTTTTTTCCTTGTTCAGCGGTGGCGGCAGCTCTATGATCCACTTATTTCCAGAGGGCAGCAAATTCTCAGAATGAAGCACATGGTTTTGTCCTTCAGTTTGCACCTTTTGCTGAATGCCTCAGATGGCAGCAGAAGGTTGGATGTGCCTTCGGGCTCCCTCAGGCTCATTACCATTCTGGGAAATGTCACTGGATAGAGGGGGGTTTCCTTGTAGCATCCAATTCAAGACTGAATCTACAGCTGTTTTTCTACCTGCTTACATTGTGATTCCTCTGAGAGTTGCTCTCTTTCTCCATATCATGAACCTGCAGTAATTGATACCCAAGGTTATGTGCATTCTTCTTTTTCCCACATTGCCACCAGGTTCCTTATGTTTCTTAACATTCACTTTACGTAGCTGATAATAGCCTTAAGGGTGTTCATTTTTCTCTGCAGTAATGAGGGCTAGAAACTTGGCAGTGTGTGTTACTTTTGGGGGTTGTAAGATGTTAGATATTAGATGTCACACTATAGTAGTAAGCCTGCAGGCACAAACACAACCTTGCAAATAATTTATTGTCTCAACTTAGTGGAGCTAGAAAAAAAATCCAAGGCTCTGTTGGCTGACTGGCTTGCTTCCTCACAAGTATTAAATGTAAGATGGGATCAGTTAGTTCTGAGACTCTGCTAGTTTCTTTGCAATGACCTTGGATCAAAGTTTCTGTGTTCCCCTGCAGGTATAACATGGTTTGCATTCTTCTTTCCATGTTCAGTAAGTTTGGAGAAGATGAGGCATTAATATCATTGTTTCTTTACCGGTCACAGCAAAATGGACAGTGCTGCACACACGCCCCGGCAGAAACGCAGCACCCCACTCAAAGAGCGTCAGCTGTCAAAACCCCTCAGTGAAAGAACCAACAGTTCGGACAGTGAAAGGTCACCAGATCTGGGTCATAGTACACAGGTAACCAGCATTCAGAGATTGCAGCTCTGGAGCTTAAACACTCTTTCCCTAATTTTGGAGGAGGAGTGGAGGTGGCATTCCTTAAATACAGACTTGATAAAAGCCAACTGTTGTTGGAGTAGCTAGTTGCTGGAAGCTTATTTGAAGTACTGCAGTATCTTTCCAGTTGTATGTAGTCAGCTCTAAAGAGATCCTGAATCAAGTAGGCAAAGTTGTTTGTTTGTTGCATTTACACCCCATTTTTCCTCCAAGGAGCTCCAAGGTGGCATACATGGTTCTCACCCATGCATGCGATCCTCACAAAAACCCTATGAGGTAGGTTAAGTTGAGAGACAGTGACTAATCCTAGGTCACGTTAGGGTGCTTCATGACTGATTTACGATTTGTACCCTGGTCTCCCACCTCCTGGTCTAGCATTCTAATCACCACGCTGGAATTTTTGCTTCTAAATTTAAATCCAAGAAGGGAAGGAGATTGGAGCCAAATGGTTAGTAAAGGGTTAAGAGCATTTGTTATGAGAGACACAAAACCTTTCCCCCCACTATTCCTCAGACTTGGAAGCTTGTCCAAAGCCCTCTTTTTATTTTCTGAGTTTTCTCCAGATACCAACCACTTACGTTGAACTTTTTTTTTTACAGCCACAAGTATTTTCCCCTTCACCTGCCCAATAAATATAGGCAGGAGGAATATGCATTTCTCAAATTATAGTGACCTGCTGAGGAGTAAATAAGTTGTGGGGGAGAATGTAATTTCCCATAGTATTAAAAGGTGATCTTAGAAGTATTGTCATACAGCAAGAATAAAAGGAATGCTTCTCTTTCTCTCCCCATTCCCTCTCATGACATATGCCTTCCTGCTCCATGTTGGAGATAAGATTATTTTGCTTTATATTTGAGTTAGGAGTTATGTCAATGAACTATGCTTAAAAAACCATGCAACTTCCCCCAGCAGATTCCTCGCAAGATTGTTTATGATCAGCTGAATCAAATCTTGGTGTCAGACTCAGCCCTGCCAGAAAACATCATCCTAGTGAATACTATTGACTGGCAAGGCCAGGTAAGGAGGTTGTTGCTGTCCGTGTGTCTGTCCTGTTCTTTGTACCATCCCAGTCTCTGGTCAACAGAATTAAGTAAATTGGAAAAAAGAATGTGTGCTGTTGTCCCTAACTGGTTCCATTTTCTGAGTGCAGAATGTAGCTTTGCCTGTAGAAACCTAGACTTGCTCCCCAAATATTAAGGAATGCAAAGTATTGTCATTATTATTATTTAATAATAATAAAACAAGAGTAATACTCTTATGCACCATTGGTAAATGTAACAATTTACATAATAACATAAAAAATAGGTAGGTCCCTACCCCATGAAGCTTCCAATGCAAATGTTTAACAGTACTAAGATAATGGGTGGGGATGTCCTATTATTACTAGTTAATAAAGGTAATTTCCCCAGCCATCAGAACCAGATCCTGCAGTTCAGTCCCAGCAGAATAAATTATTCACTTTAAGCACATTTTTTCATTGTTGTTTGATTTATTAGGTAAACTTAATTTAGCATTATTGGCAATCAGAAGTGGTTGTGCTTAATCTGTGTCACTGAAGCTAAGCTACATGGAAAATTAGCACCAAGCGGACTGTGCAATACTGGCAAGAGGATAAGCAGTAGGAATGAAGAGCCATGAAGAAATTTTGCCCCTTCAACTGGCCATTAAAATTCATCCCAAGCCCTGTCTCATGTCAATATGTAGAGAAAATCCATTTACCTTAACTATATCATTGAGGCCATTTGGTTAGAAGCCAGGTGTCTTATATAGAATGAAAGTTAGCATATTCAGAATTTGACAGCTAACCCAGATTGTTCACTGAATGTCATGCAGTAACTGAATGTTTCTGCCAATGGGAAAAGGGGAAGGGTACATTAGTGCTAGTGAGAGGCCATGTCTGGGTTGATTATCTTGGGATTCTGCTTTGTCCTGTTGAACCCTCCTTCGTATAAGTCAGGACCTTAAGTGACTGGAACAAGATCCTCCAAAAGGAGGGAATCATCTTAAAACAAATGGGTCTGTCACACAATATTTCATACCCTTTGTCCCATTGCACCTTGATTGCTTTCCCCCACTCTTACCTACTAGGGCAGCAATAAGATGAGTTTCAGATTTCCATCACCTGAGTCGTAACTGTGTCTTGTTAAGCTTGTATCCAGGGTGCTGAATGGTGCTCTGTTACCAAACCTTTTGTCTGAGGTCATGTGGCCAGTGATTGCTAATCAGGGAAGAAGGGGTGTTGTGT